ACGTTTCGTGGCCCCATAGAGAGCTCCGCCTAAGGCCCAAGTGGCAGGGTCCGCATGCAGTTCCACCTCCATTTCGGCGCACCCCTCACACGTTTCGCGGCCCCATAGGGAGCTCCACCGAGGGCGCCAATGGCAGGGTCCGCATGCAGTTCCACCTCCATTTCGGCGCACCCCTCACACGTTTCGCGGCCCCACAGGGTGCTCCACCGAAGGCCCCAGTGGCAGGGTCCGCATGCAGTTCCACCTCCATTTGGCGCACCTCTCACACGCTTCGTGGCCCCATCGGGTGTTCCACCAACGACGATACTTACAACGGCGGCATTCGGAATTGCGTATGGTTGGGCCCTTCGCCAGGATAATTTCGAGAGAGTGCGGTGGGCGCCCTTTCAGGTATTTTGCCATACGAAAGCTCTGTTCAAAATGAAGCTCGAATCCCAAGACCCATTCTTAATGAACGCGGCAGCCCTGATTGCCACGGCCTGGAGGCTGGGACGCGCTGGAGGAATCCAGCCAGATCTCATGGCTGGGTGGGAGGGTGATCAGCGAGCTGCGTCTGTGCAGCGGCAGACAAGTGGATTGCGTCCGCTGTCATGTTTCGCCAAGGCGTTTGGTGTCTTCCGCGCCATCGTCGGCCGCACTGTGAGCGAAGTGTTGGCTGAGGCTGCCGGGAGGGGCCGCGCAGTGGAAAAATGCATGTTTCGATTAGTGTATCGGGCGCGTCATTCTTCTGAGTTTTGGTGTGCCAAAAGCATTGTTTCTGGGAGGCTGCGAGCTCGGGGGCTTTCTTGGGCGCCGATTGAGAGGAATTTGCGTCACATGCCTTCTTCTGTGCCTGGAGAACATCGGGTCTCGATCATGCGGCGGCTGTTGAACGGCGAATTGACCTCACGCCGGCTCGCGCCGGTGTTGGGACAGCCGGTTCAACCGTGCCCCTTCTGCGGAGCTGAGCACGCGATTGCGCAAGGCACTGGGATGAGTGCAGCGTTTTACTTTCCGTTCGCAGGGTGCTCAGCCCAGAGTACGCGCAACTGACTGTTGGCCAGCTCTGGCTGCAGGAGGATGTTGCTGGCGGGGGAGAGCTACAAAGGGTCCTTGCGTACACGAGCGCGGTGGTGCGACTTCGCAGGCTCCTGCTCCAACCCGGCGTTGCCTTCTACGACCTTGAAGACATGATACGCCACGCTCGGCGCTTGAGCGAGGATCCGTGGATCACGGGGTCTCCGGTTGAGAGTACTCGGGCCGAGCGGCGTGCCCTGCGCGCAAGACCTCCCACCTACGCTGAGGGGTGGGTCGTCTACGCTTCGGACGGAGCGAACCGGCGTCAAGGCACTGCAGAGGTGAGCTTATCTTCATTCGGGTGTGTTCGTTACGCCGAAGGCAGCCGGCGCGTCGCGGCCTCCCGCGGTGCGCAGCTTGGCCACGTCACAAACAATGTTGCGGAATACACTGGTTTGTTGGAAAATCTGCAGCATGCTTTTCTGTACCCTGCCGAGCACATCCGGTTTCACGTCGACTCGTTGTTGCTTGCTCGTCAGGTCAACTGCCAGTGGCGGTGCCGAGCGCCTTCGTTGCGGCCGCTCTTCGAGACAGCATTGCGGAGACTGCGAGAGCTGCGCCGCCTGCCTGCCGTGCGCGCGTGTGAGGTCATCCATGTCTACCGAGAGTTTAACGTTGATGCTGACGCCGTGTGCAACACTGTTTTGGATATGGTCGCCGATGGCATCGCGCCAGAGCGCACGGGTTTCCATGTCTCGCACAATTGGGAACCTTTTGACTCAGGCGCCTGACCTAGATGCGTATCGGTGGCAACACCGGGGCCGCTGCAGATCGTCCCCTGTTCTGTGGAACCGCTCTGACCATTTGCCGCCCGACCAGCTGTCTGCTCGGAGGGGTGGAAGACAGGAGGTGGCGAGGAGAGGACGGATAAGATCTTAGACGAATGACTACACTGATTTGTTAGGCCGCGGGCCCCGTTGTACGGCCCGCTCATTGATAGGTCGCGAACCCCGCAAACGCGTTCGCATAACTTTTCATCACGACGATTCCTTTGGTTACTCGCGCAGCGGGTAGTTTCTCCAGCCACACATTCGTGTATACATGCACTGTTGCTCATTGCACTTTCCTTCTCTTTATTACTTATTATTTACCCTCCGTCCTCCTTCCTCCCTCATCCACAGCAGATATCAGCACGGTCTGGATTAGTTCAGGCATACAACTGCCGTCTGACCATTTGACATGTTCACAACCTCCAAGAGGTATTCCGTGACATATTCACTCTGCCGTTGCAGAGCGCTCGTCGGCAAAAAAAAAATGGGGAATGATGTGGGGAAACCAATCGGTACGATATCGGGGTCGGCCAAGGGGGGTCGTCCAAGAGGGGGGGGGCCGCAAATCGTGGCCGGCGGCACGTGCGCGGCTCAGGGGGGGGGGCCAGGCGCGTGATGAAAGAAGAAGAGGCGCCGTGAGATCTGGGGAGATTTATGGCCCACAAACATAATCATTCCAGCGCGTCCCTACCTAGAAGTTGGAGCCTCTAGGAAAGCAACGTTAGTTGGAACCTCTAGGACAGCAACAAATAGTGGATGCTGTGCTGCGCTATGCTCTGCTCTGCTCTGCTCTGCTATGCTATGCTATGCTATGCTTCGCTATGCTATGCTGGGCTAGGCTAGGCTAGGCTATGTTATGCTTCGCTATGCTGCGCTATGCTAATTATGCTATGCTATGCTATGCTATGCTATGCTATGCGTTTGCTTTGCCTTCGCTTTTGCCTTCACTTTTGCCTTTGCTTTTGCTTTTGCTTGGCACCCAAGGAGCGCAACTGGGGGAACCGCGCGTTTGCTTTTACCTTTGATGTTGCTTTTGCTTGGCTCCCAGGGGACCGGGGGAACCGCCCGGGGCGGGTTCCACTGCCCAGCCCCTTTAAGCAAAGACAGTAAGAACCCTTCTAGGCAGAGCCTAGGTAGGGACAAATTCGGAGGTCCGCGCGGATTTCTCGGATCGGCGCTGGACCCCCGTCCCTGGCGCGCGGAGCGCGCCAGGGGCGGCGCCCGAGGCGCCGCCGGGGGGGCCCAGCGCCGATCCGAGAAATCCGCGCGGACCTCCGAGTTTGTATGTTTATGTCACTTTCAGTTCCCCTAATGATACCCCCCCCCCGCCCCAAATGTCACCCCTCTCTTGGCCGCCTCCCACGGTCCCCGCTGCCCACCGCCCCCTCTCCATGGGGCGCGTGCGGACGGGGCGAGAGTACAGCGGGCGGCAGGCGCCTCCCGGGAGGCCCCGGAGGGCGAAGGCGGGGCAGGGGCAGCGGGGTATGCAGGGGGCCACATGCGAGCCCTACCCCTACAGTCAAAAACCCTAATAAGGACGCGCGGTAGGGACACAAGACCCTTGGAAGCCGAAGTTGGGATTTTTGGGGCGGGCAAGCGAAGGAGCGGGCAAGCGACAGAGGCCAAGGACGAGTCGCAAGAGCAAGGAAGAGCAAGGACGTCGCGCGTCCTTATTAGGGTTTTTGACTGTATGCAGGGGGCCACATGCGAACCCTAACCCTACCCCCAACGATTTCTGAGGGGGAGGGTGGAGTTCGCATGGGGGGGTGGGGGCAGGGTTCGGGGGGGTAGGGGCAGGGTTCGCATGTGGACCCCTCGTATGGGCACGTCTTCCTCCTCGGAGGGCGAGGGGGGCGTCGAAGAGGGGGCCGCCCCAGAAGGGGGTTCGCCGAGCACGGCCCGAGGCACGTGCGCGGAGGAGCGGGCGGCCAGGGACGCGCTGGGAGGCAACGAGGGGGCCAGGACATGCGGGAAGACATTGTGGCCCCACCACGACGCCCCCCGAATCATCGACCCCCCGTGTTTGACATCAACCGTGGACTGCCCACCCACTCTGACGGACGCGGGCGAGTTCCCTATAAAGGGTCGAAGCCTGAGCACCAGCGCTGGCCGCACAGAGCGGCGGATGCAGCTTCGAAAAAAACCGCTGCCCGCCAAGACGTCACCCCCCTCACTCTGGGCGGGCGGCACGCAGAGAAGGGGGGTAAAGGGAGCGAGGACAGGCTTTTCAGAAGGGGGCTTTTTCCTGCACGTGCGCGGGCCCTACATCTGCAGGCAAGGCCCGCGCCCTCTGGGAAGCAGAGGGGGCTTCCAAGAAGCCGCCTCCCCTCCCCCGACCCCCCTCTACGCGTGGCTGATCGGAGCCTCGCATGTCATCCTGTCGTCTCCTGCGAATCGGCGCGAACCGACGCTGCTCGACGCCAAGTCTGCGCGCGAACCGACGCGAACCGACGCTGATCGACGCAAGGTCTGCGCTGAGTCTACGCTCGGAAGCCTTCCCTCCTCCCCCGACCCCCTGCTGCGCGTGGCCGATCTCTCGGCGGTGGACACACCTCCCTTTAGTAAACCGCCCTTTAGTGAAAACGGCCAAGGACCGAAGCCGACGGACCTGGACCCGCCAAAAAAACGGCCGCGACGCCCTCTCGCGACCTGAGAACGGCAAATTCGCTAATCGACGAGTCAGGATAGGAGGTCTATCATCAAATCGGGGCTGTCCCTCTACAGGGGGAATTATCAAAATAGTCTTTGAAAAAAACAGGGGACGAAATTTCTCCACCATTTTTCACTACCTTCGAATCTTCTGGAGTATTGTATATTTTTCGTCCAGAATCCCCCTGTAGGGGGACACGCCCGACCAAGTCTTTCAACCTCCGAATCTTGGCTCCCCTTATGTTGTTCCCATCCTACTTAAGGACCACATCCCAAACATAATTTCGAGCACCCGGAAAAGTGTCGAAAGAGTGTCGAAACCGTGTCGGGCGAGTGTCTCCCAGGGCCCGACACGTGAACACCCTCGAGTTTCGCTACTTGTTTGGCCGCTCGAAACGCGTCCAGGTGATCAAAGCTAAAGTCGGTTGGAGCATCAGACGGGCTCCCCCCGAAAAGCAAGGAAGGACGGGCGCGCCAGGCGAAAACCCGCGGGGGGGGGAGGCGCGGCCGGCCGCGGCCCCGGGGCTAGCCGGGCCGCCGCAGGGGGCAGGCCGCGGCGCTGGGCTCGACGAGCCACCAGCAGGGCCCCGCCTCGACGGGGCGGAGGTCGTCGTCGTCGTCGCCGTTGTCGCCGTCGTCGTTGTTGTCGTCGCCGTTAATCCGTCTGTTTTTCCGTCCGTCGTCGTTCGTCCGTCCGTTTGTCCGCCGTCGTCGCCGTCGAAGGAGGACGCGGAGGAGGAGGAGGAGGAGGAGGAGGAGGAGGAGGAGGAGGAGGAGGAAGAGGAGGAGGAGGACGAGGAGGAAGAGGAGGAGGAGGAAGAAGAGAGGGGTCATGTATCCATGCGGCAACGCACGTGGGCCTCGGATGACCTGCGTGAGGGGTGCCGCGTGCTGTCGAGTTCTCGGCGCACGGCTGGGAGAGCTAAACACGTGTCAGTCGAACTATACACATATCCACGGGCGGAGGAGGAGGAGGAGCGTAGAGGAGGAGGGCGGAAGAGGAGGAGGCGGAGGAGGCGGAGGAGGAGGAGGAGGAGGCGGAGGTGGAGAGCGCAGGAGGAGGAGGAGGAGGAGGAGGAGGAAGGAGGAGGAGGAGGAGGAAGAGGAAGAGGAGGAGGAGGAGAGGAGGAGGAGGAGGAGGAGGAGGAGGAGGAGGAGGAGGAGGAGGAGGGGGAGGAGGGGGAGGGGGACGGGGAGGAGGGGGGGAGGAGGGGGAGGCGGAGGCGGAGGAGGAGGAGGAAAAGGAGGAGGAGGAGGAGGAAACGGAGGAGGATGAGGAGGGGGAGTTTTAAACCCGCGTGCTCCCGCCCGTGAGTGGGCGCCCCTGGTCTCGGCACCCCGCGCAGGCAAAACGGCCCGAGGCGGGGTGGGCCAGCGGCCTCATCTCACGTCGTCGTACTGCCGCCACTCAGTGACTCATCGAGTCGCCCCATGGGCGGCGGCAGTCTGAAGAATTGCTGCCGCCGCCCTCTCAGAGCTTGAGGAGCAGCCTGATGGACGGCCGCAGCCGCTCCTCCGCTCTGCGCTCTTCCAGGGACCGCCCCGGCTGCTGGTCCCTGGCCTCTTGGGCCTTCTCGGCCGCCTTGCCTGGCGCAGGGCTGTGGCCTAACCCCTCGCCACGCTGGGGTGCGTTGCGGCCGAACCCCTCGCCGCGCAGGGGCCCTCTGCGGCCTAACCCCTCGCCGCGCTGGGGCCTGCTGCGGTCTAACCCCTCACCGCGCTGGGGTGCTCTTGGTGGCCTAACCCCTCGCCGCGCAAGGGTCTGTTGCGGTCTAACCCCTCACCGCGCTGGGGCCCCACGTGGCCTAACCCCTCGCCACGCAGGGGCCTGCTGCGGTCTAACCCCTCACCGCGCTGGGGCGCTCCATGGCCTGACCCCTCGCCACGCTGGGGATCGCTGCGGTCTAACCCCTCGCCGCGCTGGGGTGGTCCGTGGCCTAACCCCTCGCCACGCTGGGGCCTGCTGCGGTCTAACCCCTCACCGCGCGGGGGATCGCCGAGTCTCGCGCTGTCCCCATCCACAGTGCTGCTGCCCACTGTCACGGGCAATGTCCCTCGACTATGCCACTCTCTGTGTTCGCGGTTCACGTGGTATCCGCGGGCCAAGCCCTCCCCCTCGCGTTCAGTCTGTCGGTTTCCCAGGGTGTGGGCCCGCTCTGTTAGTTGCGAGGTCCTGTATACCACACAGCTGGTCAAACGATCCGCGTCATGCTCGCGGTGCTCGTCAGGGATCTCCACCTCGAGCCTCTGTTTGCCTTTGGCATTGCGGTCTACCCCCTCACCGCGCAGGGGACTGCCGTGGCCTAACCCCTCGCCACGCAGGGGTTCCATGCGGTCCAACCCCTCACCGCGCTGGGGAAAGTCGTCGAAATCCTTGCCCTGGTCCCGCTGCAGGTCTGTGTCGTCGTAGTCTGCCGTCGTCTCGGGCTGCTTTGTTTTGTGGCCTAACCCCTCGCCGCGCAGGGGACCGTCGTGTCTCGCACCATCACCATCCTCGGTGCTGCTGCCCACTGGCTCGGGCGAGGTCCCCCGACTGTGTCTCTCGCTGTGTTCGCGGTTCACGTGGTATCCGCGGGCTGAGCCCTCCCCCTCGCGTTCAGACTGTCGGTTTCCCAGGGTGTGGGTCCGCTCTGTTAGTTGCGAGGTCCTGTCTACCACACTGTCGATCAAAAGGTCCGCGTCATGCCCACTGGGCTCGTCAAGGACCTCCGCCTCGTGCCTCTGCCTGCCTTTGGCACTGCTGTCTAACCCCTCACCGCGCTGGGGTCCTCCGTGGCCTAACCCCTCGCCACGCGGGGGTCCTCCGCGGTCTGCCAGGTGGTACCCTATGCTGTGCTGTGCATCTGGGTTCTGCTGGTGGCTGTCGTCGCTGTCCTGCCTGTCTACGGGCTGCTGGGGGGCAATCCTCACTGCTCTCCTCTTCATGGAAGTGGTCAAGGGCTGCCCTGTCCATGTTGCTCCGTCCTGCTGGTGGGGGACGGGCGCCCCTCTGCGTCCCGTCTGGCGCAAGGCTGTGGCCTAACCCCTCGCCACGCTGGTGTCCTCTGCGGCCTACCCCCTCGCCGCGCAGGGGTTCGTGGTGGCCGTTCCCTGCTCCACCCTGGGGCCTGCTGACGGTTTTCTGCTGCTCCTCAGCCCCTCCCACCTCCAGTGGCCGCTCTGGCTGCGGTACCCTGGGTTCCTTGGGCCTCTCGGGCTCGGGCGCTGGCGTTGCCGTGCGCAGCTCGGCAGGGCTGCTGGTGGCCCTGGCCTCTGGGTGCCCCCTCGGCTGTCTGCCTGGGGCCCTGCTTGGCTCTCGCACTGCTGCTTGCGGTCGCGGGCTGCGGCTCCTCATCACTGTCTCAGTCACACCCAGGAGCTGCTCTGCCATTGCTTCGCGCCGCTCTGCCTCCTTCGGGTCCTGCTGCTGGCTCTGCCTGCGCGCCTCTCCACTGCTGAGCCATGCCATACGGCAGATCTCCTCCGCCGCTCGGCGCTGGCTGCGCTGGCGGCTCAGCCCTGACTCGTGGCTGGACAGCCTCTGGTAGACGCCCGTCTGCAACTCCCTCAGCACATAGGGCACGCTCGCAGCCTGCCACGATGGCCAGCCATGTGTGCCCTCTTTCTGGGTCCAGCAGCCTGCCAGCGACTGCATGTGCTGCTCGAGCCTGTTCCTCTCGAGCCACGCCACCTCCTGCTCGGGGTCCTGGTCGGCTTCCCTTTTGTGTCGTAGCCTTGGGTGGATCAGGCCAGCTTCATCGGCTTCGCTCACGAACTTCATCAGGTCGGGCCCCACTGGTTTGGCCAGCTTTGCTGCCACCTGCACAACCGTCTGCATCAGGCTGTTGGTGTCGCTCCCCTGATCAGGTCCTGCCATGGTCTCCATCTCCTGGTCGCTCGGCTCGCCCTCCTGCTCTGGGGCTCCACTGTCTGGTGTCGAGTCATCATCATCCAGGTTTTCTGGTGACCACTCTCTGCTGGCCTCCGCTGTACTCGGCAGCGGCCTGCGCTCGCTGCTGGGGATGCTGTGCGCTAGGATGTGGCCCCTTCTGTTCTGGAGCGCGTCCATGTGCACTCTTGCTACCTGCTGCCTTGTACCGTACGGGAGGGTAGGCATCCCGGTCATGAGCCCCCGTCGCTTGCGGTGCGTGTTGCGCCAGACTTCTTCGCAGAAGTCCTTGATATGTTGCTGCTCCTGCACGGTGACAGCCCTGGTGTGCTCCTGCGAGTCCATTCTGTCGCCCACGTTGGTGATGGCCAGGAGGTATGGTACGCAATGCTCCATCAAGTCGCCCATGTCGTCCCAGACCTCCTGGTCGACCATGTTCATCCACAGCTCCGCGTAGCCCTCCATGTAGTCCACAAGCCTCCAGCTGGCTTGGACGACAGAGTGCGGGTGGCTGGGTGGCTGCTGTGGAGCTGGCTGCGGGTCCCCTGCCTCTGTGCTGTCCCCGTCCAGATCGATCACCTCGTGGTTGCTCAGACCAAGCTTGAAGTCACCAGGCATGGTGATCTCGTTGAGACCCTCCTTATCTGGGTCTGCTGCTGGCTTAGCTCCTCTTGGCAGCTTGCCCCTCTGCATGTCCGCCAGGACCCGCCTCCCTGCTGCTGTTGGGGGCTGACATGGCCTGGCCAGCTTCCTTGCCACTCCTGCCACGATCCTGCTCTTGTGGTCCCCAAGGTAGCTGGTGCCGCCACATTTCTCGCACCAGACCCAGCCATGGGTGAACTGCGTCTTGTGGGAGACGTCCACCACCTGCGTGCCGATCTGCGCCGCCTTGAAGTCGAGCCTGACGTTGCCGTGCTGGTCCTGGTGGCCACCGTACTTCCCGAGGCATTCCCCCGTCTCTGCCAGCCAGTCTTTGATGTTTTTTGTCCTTTGGCTGGGCCACTGCGACACGTTGCACACCACCATCGCGGATGTAGCTTGCGCAAGTCGTGCCCCAGTTGGGCTGTCCTGTCCCTTGCCGCCTGCGGCTTTCGGCGCTTGGCCTTGGGACGCTGAGGGGCCTTGTTGGGGTCCTCCACCGTCACCGCCATGTTGATGGCCAACAGCCGATTTTGCACCGCCATGGTGATCTGGTCCCTGGTCTGCTGCTGCGCGATGATGGCTGGATCCAGTGCTCCATGCTCCGCTCCCCAGCCTGCGCACTTGTCTGCCATCTCGTTTCCGATGACCCACCAAGTGGGACCATTCCACCTCTCCAGCTCGGCTGGGTGCTCAATCAGGTGGCTTGGGATATGGTGGCCCATGGTGGTGTCCGTGCTGTTATGCAGCTGCTGCTTCGTCTGGGGCCAGAGGTCGTAGTTCGTGCTCCTGTAGCCCAGGTCCTCTGGATCCTGGATCTGCTTGAGTGCGTCCAGGGCGTACTTGCAGTCGCTGACTATGTTGAGTCCCCTGGCCGTCGCCGCCGTGGTGTACCCGATGGCTTTGCTCATGGCGGTGAGCTCTGCCCGTGGCACCGTGTGTGGTGCCCTGATCGTGCCGTACCATGCGGCCACTTCCTGCGGACGTCCTTGCTCGTCGAACCTGAAGGCCACCACTGCCCAGCCGCAGCGTCTGAGGCGGGGATCCTTGGCCGTTTCCCCTGCACCACCTGAGCCGTCCGTGAAGGCGCAATCTGCTCGAACCTTGTACCCTGCCTGGGCTGCCGCCTGCGCCTCTTCGCTGGTGCAGAAGATCTGCGCCGCTTTCGCCGCGTCCTCGTCTGGGTCGACCTTGGCTGCCCAGGCCGCTGGCGGGATGCCGCGGAGCCAGAAATGCAGGTCTTGCCTCTGGTCCAGCGCTTCTTTCGCCTTCTTCGCCAGGTCGGTATCATTGCTGTGCCCTATCTCTGCGTTGGCTCGGCATGCGTAGTAGCGGTGTTCCTCTGTCTCTATCGCCTCGCCACATCTCGCGCAGGTGTCGTCGCCTTCTTTGTTGAGGTTGGCCGCCCTGCGACGCCCCCTGGTCCAGATGCCCGCCACCGCAATAGTCTCCAGCATGGCCGCCTCTGCACGCTGTCCTTTGCGCCTCCTCCTCCTCAGGTGGCGCTGCAGCTGGAAGAGGTCACCTCCTGCCTGAAGTCCTTCTTCACTGCGATGGCATGCTGCCTGCTGCCAGAGCTGCTGCTGCGCGCTCTGCTGGACCCCATGCAGGAGCGCGCCGAAGTGTGGAATGTCATCTGGCTTGTATGCCCACTCTTCACCTGCTGGGCTGATCCAGCTGTCCAGGCGTCGCGGTATCCATCCTAACCCAAGCAGCTGCGCGATGACCCCTGTCATAGGCCCCTTGACCTGCTGCCACCTGCGGTTGGGTTCCAGGGCGTCCAGCTTGGCGTAAAGCAGGAGCCAGCCCCTCTGGTACCTCTTGAGCTCCGTCGGGTGGTCGACTATGGTGAGCCAGAACTGCTTGATCTGGTCGCCAGTGGCTCGTGTTACTGCCTCTTGCATTCCCCTCTGAATCAGGAGGATGGTGGACGTGCAGCGCCCTGCCTTATGTCAGCCTGTGAGGAGCGCTGCCTCCGTGGCCCTAACCGCCCTCGCCTCCGTGGGCGTGATGCCGTGCGCTGGCAGGTCCCAGGCCTGCTGGCAATAGGCCCCTGCTGAGTAGACATTTGCCGCACCTCTGGCGTCCGTCTTCGCTAGGTCCTTAAGCTTGGCCACCCTCTGCTTGGCCCTGGCCTGGCGCGCTGCATGGGTAGGTCGCCGCAGCTGATTGCCTAGGCTGGTGTCCACGCCGAGGTCGCGCACTACACCTGGTTGCTTGTTGGGGGTGCCCAGGCTGTCCAGGATGCTTGCAACTTCTGCCTGGAGGTCCTTGTCCGTGGCCACAACTGCCGTCTTGACGGAGATGGGTATGGAGAGCTGCTTGAAACCATCGTGCACCAGCGCTGCCACGTACTTGATCTGTTCTATGACCTGCCTCCGCGCACCCTCTACCTGCAGGGCCAAGTCGTCCAGGTACTGGTGCATGACGACGAAGATGTGGTGCCTGTGTGCTGCATCCCGGATGTCATACAAGAGCGGTCTGGTGAGGTCGACCGCTTGGCCACAGCCAGCTACCATGCTGTTGGCAGGCTCGAAGATGTCCGAGAAGAGGCTGTGGGCCATGATGGCCCTGGGCGCAAGGTACATCTGCACGGCCATTGCCAGCGGCAGCAACGGGCACTGGAGGTCGCTGGCTTTCTCAATCAGCTGGTCGAGGCCTACTTTGTCGTAGAAGTTTGCCGCGTCGTAGAAGACTCCTGCTGCATGAAAGCCCATCTCCGTGGCGGATTCTGCCCTCATCAGTCTGTGCAGTGCCACTCGTAGCGCTGAGGAGCCTGCTACTGCCGCATCCCAGAAGCCCGCCGCTGCCTTGCTCCAGGTGGCTACTTTGGGCCTCCTGGCTGCGCTCCAGATGCGGTACGGCATGGGCATGAGGCAGATGGGGCGCTCACCGCCGATCCCTGGCTTCTTGCCCAGCAGCAGCTCCAGCACCAAGCAAAATTGCCGCGGCCACGCTGCCCGTTGCTCACAGCTGATCAGGCACTGCACGAATTCTTCAAGCCCCTGGGCGCCCATGGCCTTGAGCTCTGGAGCCCTCCACCAGCCCGCTCCTTGGCCAACATTGCGCTTCAGGTGCTGGATGATGGAGCCGATGATGTCCTTGCTGATGGGCTCGAAGGCATTCTCTTGGGCCAAGGCCGCCTGCCTCAGCTTGGCCAGCGCCTCTTGGATCCTCTCGGCCTTCTGCGCATCTCGTGTCCACATGCGTTGCCATGCCTCTTTGCGCGAGTCCACCAGCTGCTGCGGGTGGTTGATGACCTGGCCCTCATGCTCTAGGATGTCCTCCAGGTGGCTGCGCTCCGCTGCCTTGGTGCATGCGTGGGCCATCTTAGCACTGCCTGCAGTGGCATCGTGCACCCAGTGGATGTACGCCTTCCCCACCGCATTTGTGAGCTGCTTGGCCATGTTCTTTACCTCCTCTGCTACTCTGCTGATCGTCCCTGGGTCCACGAGGGCGCCCTCAGCAATCGCGTGCAGGTCTGTGAGGAGGGCCTGCCGCTGGTCCTTGGCTGCACCTTCTTCGTTCAGCCTGCCTGGGTCAGGCTGGTTGAGCTGCTGCGCGAGCTGCCTTCTTGTGTTAATCTGCTGCTGCGTCTGGTGGCCGCTGTGGGTGCGGACATGCAGCTCTCGGCGGCTTCTCAGGCCACTGCCTGCTCCTGGGGCATCATGTAGTTGTCTTCGAGCTGCTCCTTCTGGTACTCGTTCGCCTATGACTTCTCGCATAAGCCTCCGCAGGTTAGCAAGCTCCCTCCAATGCATCATCTCCAATTCGTGCCTATTCGTCGGCTCCTCTCGCGTGAGACCTTGGAGAAAGCCTCGGCGTCGTGGTTCTGCTTGTCTCCATGCTCGCTCGCAGAGGTCCCTGATGATGTGGCTGAGGCCTGCCTGCTGGCACCTGCGCCTGAGCAATCTTACCATTCCATCGTTGCCTCCGCCACCCAAAATGGTCCCCAGGAACGGCACGCAGACCTGCATCCAGTTGTTGTTGTCCGAGGGGAGCTGCACCAAGTTGTCCATCCAGATGGCCGCCCAGTACTCTAAGTCGTCTCTCATGGCCACGCAGTCTTCCCACTCCCGCTGGTGCTGGTCTTCATTCCAGCGGTCTGGTGGGGACAGGCCCATATCGCGTGGCTCCTCTGCCTCTGGGCCTGGCGGCTCTTGGTTCTGACTCCCCAGGTGATCGGTACCCTCTGCCTCCAGAGTGCCAGCTGGCTGAGGAGGTGAGCAGTGCGTGCCCCCTGGGGCAGCATTACCTGATCCAGATGGGTGCCGACGAGCGGACTGGCCGCAGTAGCTGCTGTCCTGCTGCGCCTCAATGCGCTGGCGGTGCCCGTCGCTGCCATCCTGATCTGCGGTCTCCTGGCGATACTGTGGGCAGTCCTCCTCCTCCTCGAAGGGGCCGCAGTCTTGGACGTCCATGGTGTTGCGTCCTGCAGGTGAGGGAGTGGCAGATCCAGCTGCACGTCGGCGAAAGGTCTGGCCGAACTCGAGGCTGTCCTGCTGCCCCTCGGTGTGCTGGTGGTACCCATCGCTGTACTCCTGATCTGCGATCTCCTGGCAGTACTCCACGTGGTCCTCCTCGTCCTCGAAGGGGTCGTGATCTTGGATGTCCATGGTGCTGCGTCCTGCTGGTGGGGGAAGGGCACCCCTCTGCATCCCTTCTGTGCAGCTGTCTGCGCTGCTGTGGGTTGGTCCCACGTCGAGGTCTGGGACACATCCCGTGGCGTTGTACTTGGGGCACGAGAACCCCTGACCCATCTCTGGGCAGGGACCAGCTGCCTTCCGTTGGTCCGCTGCGCCCGCCTCGGCCTGAGGTGGGGAGACCTCCTCAGGTGCTGGCTGATTCGCGATGTCCTTGGAGCCGCTGCCGCCGCCTCCACTGCCAGCACGCCGCTGCTGCAGCTCGGGAGGGGCCCTCACCCCGCTCGGTGGGGCCGCGATCCACCGAGCTTCCTCCCGAGCTCTTCGATGGCCTCATTGCTGGTGCGGGGACACCGTCTTCGTGGCCTACCTGGCTGTCTGACATGTCGGGGCCAGGCTCAGGCGCCGACGGGCCCTGTTCGCCTCCTGAGTATTCGCCGGGAACTGTCAGGGTCTTGCCCAGTCGGCTTGCTGCTGCCTCCTGCGCTCGGGCATCGTGGTGCGAGAGCTGCCGCACCAGGGTGGAGATCTCCGCCCACCACGCGTGGATCTTCCTTTCGACCCCTGCCCATGGCGTAGAGGTGACGGTGTCCTTGATGCTCACGCTCTTGTAACTCGGGGGCCTGCTGTGCCCAAGATGTCGTCCTCGCTCTTCCTCTGGGATGCCGATGCTCTCGCACAGGCTGAGCTCGAGGGTGCTAGCGAAGCGATCATACTGTTGTCCTAGGTCCAGCATGTCCCGCTCCATCATCTTGCCGACGACTGTGTGCTGCAAATGCTGGGGCAGCTCGTCGTTGGCGCGCACGCTGACTCGCTCGGAGGTGGCCTGCCACAGCTCGTCAGAGATGACGTGCTGGACCTCCTTGTCGTAGTGCAGCTGCGGCACTGGCTCCATGTCCGTTCTCGTCCAGGTCGCATCCTGCTTCTGCCAGCGCTTGCTGTCGTCGGCGCATGGCCTCCTGGCCCCCTCGCGCCGCTCGTCTGCAGGCGGCTCTGGACTTCGGCATTTTCTCGACTGCGACTGGCGGCTTAATGGCTGCTGGCCTGCGAAGTACCCTGCCCTTGAGCATGAGGGGCCGCCCCTTCAGCTTCAAGCGGATGCCGATGTGCGGCTTCCACGGCGCGGTCCTGAGCAGCTCCAGCTGGTCGAAGTACGGCGCCAGGCCCTGCGAGATCAGCGCGAAGTCGATGCACCTGGCCTCTCCTGCTGCTGGGAAACATGTGGGGGCACCACCCTCCGCCGCAGCTACCTGAGCATTCAGCACCCTGGGCCAAATACTGTTGTTGAACTCCGACGGCGTCATGTTGAAGTCCCCCAGCGCTGCCCAGGGCCCTCCCCAGACGGCCATCTTCTCCCGCAGGTCGCAGAGGATGTCGACATTCCTCTCTCCAAAGCCCGTCCCACACTCAAGGTAGACGAAAGCCACTGCGAAACGGACCTTGTGCAGGTTGGAGATCACCACCGCGACGTCACTGCCGTCCTCGTGCAGGTAGTGCTCGTCGAATCCCGCAATCCTGTCCTGGATGTCCATGGGTCCTCGCGTGATGGCACACGTACCTCCTCGAGTGCCTTCTCCTTCTCCTGGCCGTGCCTTGGTCCAGTAGCTGTGCATGCCATTCCTCCTGAGCGCCGCTCTTGCCTTGCTTATCTGTGCTGGCTGGCGGAGGTGGTGCTCCGCTATGCCAATGATATCCCTGTCCTTGGTGTTGTTGATCTCCATGAGGTAGCCCTGCGCCTGGGGGCCCCAGGTCGTGACGTTGAAGAAGTCAATGTGGCACGGGCGGCGAGCCTTCTTCACGCTCGCCTTGGGGCGGCTACCCTGCCGAGTGGTCGCCCTGCCCTTCTGCGTCGACGACTGTCTCGGCGCGCCTTGCCTGCGAGACCTTCTCGCGCGCCTCCTGGATGTGGGCCTCCACTCTGGCTCGGCGTTCTTCTGCTTTGTCATGTTCTGCTGCACCTGCTCCAGGTTGTGCAGCTGCTGCGGCGCCGGTGGGCACAGCCGCTCCAGCTGTCCCTGCTGCCTCAGTGCATGCGGAGGCACCTCGCTGAGGGGCTGGGCTGGCGGCGCAGACTCGCTTGCCTGGTGGGGCTTCTGCTGCTGCTGGGTCTTGCTCTTCGCTCTTTGACAGGCGCTTGGTGCGGGCCTGCTCGAGCTGGCGCAGCTGCTCCTGGTGCCTGGTCGTCTCCTCCTCCAGCAGTCGCAGGTGCTTCGCCGTCTCCTCCTCGTGCTCCTTGACCGTCTGGGCCATCCGCTCGCCCTTGGCCTTTGCTGCCCGCCAGACCTCCTTGTCTGGCTCGGACCACTTGTGGAAGTCGTCAGGCTCGTGCTCGAACTGCTCCAGGAGGGCTGCCAGAGTTGGCTTCTCGGCTGCAGGCTCTGCTGGTGTCTCTTGCTTGCCGACTGTGGCCTTGAGCTTGTCGAACTCATCTTCGGCTGCAATGGAGGCTTCCATGGCTTCACGAAGCTTGCGTTCACTCTCGGCCAAGTACTGCTGGGCACTCTCAACTTGCTCTCCTGCCGATCGCACTTTCTTCTGGAGTTTGTCCAAGCGTCGAGCAGCTGCCTCCACTGCCTTGAATCCAGCAACTGGTTGGTCTGCTGGCGGCTTGGCTGCGGCGAGCTCTGGCCAGAGGGCCTCGTAGTGCTGCCTGAGCGGGTCGTCCTTGTTGAGCTTGCTGTATGCTGCTGCGGCAGCAGCCTTGAGGTCGGCTGTCTTGTCGTGAGGTGGTGGCTGGCGTTGGCCTCCTTGTCCTTTCCCGCCTGCACCACCACCTGGCTGCCAACCATCTGCCCAGCTGATCCTGGGCGAGGTTCCTCCTTGGGGCTGTGCTGCCAGCCACCCGCCATCGTCTTCACGGAAGACATGACCGTCGGGAACGAGGCTGGCGATGTTCTTGCCGCAGATGCAGAGGTCGCCCCTGCTGGTGATGTTCTTGCAGTAGCGCCATCTGCTGCACCCGTCGCACACCACGTAGCTGCTGCGAGGAGGGCGACTGCCACTGCTGCTCCTCTTCCACGGGGGTACCCTCTGGCGATTCGGGGTCCCCGACCAGGCGCTGCCCGCCCCGCGTCCGCTGCCGCCACTCCCCATGGCTGCTGCGATGCCGCGCGCGCGCCCGACGCCCGTCTGGGAACTGTCCTCGGTCCAGAGGTCTCCCTTCGGCCTGGAGGCTGGACAGCACCCCAGGTCGTCATCTTGAGCCAAAATGGCTACGAGGAGGAGGAGGGGGAGGTGGAGGAGGAGGCGGAGCAGGAGGAGGGGGAGGAGGAGGAGGAGGAGGAGGAGGAGGCAGACTTGGCATGCCCAGCCGATGATCCAGACACCGCTTTAGTCGGCTCCGTTGTGTTAGAGGTATGTCCCTTGCGACGCGCCTGGAGCACTCCGAGGAGAGCGGATGGGGCGGGAGAGAGGCAAGAACACACTGCGCGCCTGCGGCCCAGCGATAGGGGAACGAACAACGACATAAACATAACAACTCGGAGGTCCGCGCGGATTTCTCGCATCGGCCCTGGACCCCCCTCCCTGGCGCGCGGAGCGCGCCGGGGGCGGCGCCGGAGGCGCCGCTGGGGGGCCCCAGCGCCGATCCGAGAAATCCGCGCGGACCTCCGAGTTGTTATGTTTATGTCATTTTTTGTTCCCCTAGCAAGAGCGCACTGCGTGCCTGCGGCCCAGCGAGCCGCACGACACGAGGAGCGACAGGGAGACGAGATCTACACAAACATATCCACTGCTCCTGGCCAGGCCTGTCCCCCTACAGGGGGATTCTGGACGCAGAGATTAAAATCATCCCGGCAAAGCAAACTAACAGCGATGTGTAGGAGCAAATCTGGAAGCAGTCCCCTTAAGATTCAGATGATAATCCAGTTGTAGAATTCTGCTGTTCTCGCAGTCGCAGTCGCATTCGCGATGACAGTCGCAGTGGCAACGGCAGTCGCAGTCACAGCCTCAGTCAGCCTCAGCCTCAGCCTCAGCCTCAGCCTGCTTCAGCCTCAGCCTAAGTCTGCCTTCAGCTTCGGCCTCAGCCTCAGCCTGCCTCAGCCTCACCCTGCATCAGCCTCAGCCTCAGCCGGCCTCAGCATCAGCCTGCTTCAGCCTCAGCCTCAGCCTGCCTCAGCCTCAGCCTGCTTCAGCCTCAGCCTCAGTCTGCCTTCAGCCTCGGCCTCAGCTTCAGCCTGCCTCAGCCTCAGCCTGCTTCAGCCTCAGCCTCAGCCTCAGCCTGCCTCAGTATCAGCCTGCCTCAGCCTCAGCCTCAGCCTGCCCTCAGCCTCAGCCTCAGCCTGCTTCAGCCTCAGCCTGCCGCAGCCTCAGCCTGCCTCAGCCTCAGCCTCAGCCTCAGCCTCAGCCTCAGCCTCAGCCTCGCCTCAGCCTGCCTCAGCCTCAGCCTCAGCCTGCCTCAGCCTCAGCCTCAGCCTGCTTCAGCCTCAGCCTCAGTCTGCCTTCAGCCTCGGCCTCAGCCTCAGCCTGCCTCAGCCTCGCCTGCATCAGCCTCAGCCTCAGCCTCAGCCTGCCTCAGCATCAGCCTGCCTCAGCCTCAGCCTCAGCCTCAGCCTCAGCCTGCTTCAGCCTCAGCCTCAGTCTGCCTTCAGCCTCGGCCTCAGCCTGCCTCAGCCTCAGCCTGCATCAGCCTGAGCCTCAGCCTCAGCCTGCCTCAGCATCAGCCTGCTTCAGCCTCAGCCTCAGCCTCAGCCTCAGCCTGCCTCAGCCTCAGCCTCAGTCTGCCTTCAGCCTCGGCCTCAGCCTCAGCCTGCCTCAGCCTCAGCCTGCCTCAGCCTCAGCCTCAGCCTCAGCCAGCCTGCCTCAGCATTCAAAATGTGGCCCGGGAATGGAGTCCTGGGAACTCGAAGAACACGAAAGTGGCCTGCAGTTGGCTCCGGGCATTCAAAATCATGCCCAGGAATGGAATTCTGGGAACTCGAAGACCACGAAGTGGCCTACAGTTGGCTCCGGGCATTCAAAATCACGCCCAGGAATGGAATTCGGGGAACTCGAAGACCACGAAAGTGGCCTACAGTTGGCTCCAGGCATTCAAAATCATGCCCAGGAATGGAGTTCTGGGAACTCGAAGACCACGAAGTGGCCTACAGTTGGCTCCGGGCATTCAAAATGTGGCCCGGGAATGGAATTCTGGGAACTCGAAGAGCACGAAGTGGCCTACAGTTGGCTCCGGGCATTCAAAATGTGGCCCGGGAATGGAGTTCTGGGAACTCGAAGAGCACGAAGTGGCCTACAGTTGGCTCCGGGCATTCAGAATGTGGCCCGGGAATGGAGTTCTGGGAACTCGAAGACCACGAAGTGTGTAACTGTTTGCTTAAAACGACTTCCGCGGATCCCTGTCCGGATGCCGCCCAGACCCCCCTTGGGAGTCATGATGCTCCCTTTTGACCCTATTATGAACCTATCAGTCTTCGCTGTTAGGTAAATACCCCAAACACAGATTCCAGCAACAACAGGAAATACAACAAAATTGGTCCCCAGTCTTACCATTTTTGAGCATTCCCCCTCTAGAGGGACAGGCCCGACGTGAGCCTTGCCAGGAGCAGCGGCTATTTGTAGATCGACCCCAGGCGACCGACCGGCGGCAGCGGCAACCGCCGGCAGCAGGAACCGACGCGCGCGAGGCCAGGAGGCTCGGGGATCTTCTGACCCGGGTCAATCCAGACCCGGGTCAGCAGGAAACCAAAAACTGCAATGCAGGAAAAAAAAACTGCAACGCAGATCCTCGCAAACCCGGGTCAGCCAATACGTGCGGCCGCCTCGCGGCCACGAGCGGCTCGCTAACCCGGGTCAGCCAGAGGGGGTCTTCGCAGGATCCTGCAGGATCTGGCGCCCTGGCTGACCCCCGTTTGCATTGACCCCCGTCTCGAGGCTCCCGAGAGGCCCCTTGCCTGCCGGCACCGGCGCCTCCACTGCCCGAGGAGCGTCGCCCGCTCTGGGGAGCGTGCCCAGCGGTCGTTAGAGGTGACCCAAAAGGGTGGTCCAGCTAAAAGGGGGTGGTGCAACAAGTTTGGGGCACTTGTATTGCAGACGTGCTGCGCCGGAGAAGCGTATTGCACTGTGTTGCAAATAATGTTCGCCTGCCGGCACCGGCGCCTCCACTGCCCGAAGAGCGTCGCCCGTTCAAAGGATCGTGCCCCGCGGCCGTGTGGGTGACCCAAAAGGGTGGTCCAGCCGAAAGGGGGTGGTGCAATAAGTTTGGGCCACTTGTATTGCAAACGTGCTGCGCCGGAGAAGCGTATTGCACAGTGTTGCAAGGAATGTATTGCACGCGAAAGCCCTGGAATGTATTGCACGCCCCACATGTTTTGCACCCCCACAAATCTATTGCACCAAATCTACTGCAACACCTCCTTGTCGCTGGACCCCCTTTTGGGTAAACCCGAACCGGTAGACCCGACGCCCTCTCCTCGGCAAAGAACCTAGAGTACATCGCCAGGGGCAACTCTTGCGCGAGGGCGCTCTCCCCCTGAAAACTGGCACATTCAGCCCGCGCCGCTGACTATCTGATGGGGGGAGGGCAGGGGAAGACCCAGGATACGCTTGAAACGTTGCACGAGGGGGATCCGGACCGCCGGCCAGAGACAACCTGAGCAGCCCGTCGAGCTGCATCGGCAGGTGGCAGGCGGCATGGGGCGCGCAGCTGTTTCGAGAACCCCTGGCGGTGACTGCCGGCGGTCCACTCATAAGCGCATCGGAGCCAGCGCGTGGGTGGGCATTGGCGGAGATGAAGAGGAGTAAAAATGACAAAGGCGGGGGGAGAGAGAGAAAGAGAGGGAGACAGAGAAAATGAAGAGGGGGTCGAGGTGAATCAGTCAAGAGGGGGAGGATGGATACGTAGGGGGGGAGGGAGGTTCGGCTTAGCTTGGCAGTGGCACGAAGCCAGCGATCATCACCAATCAAAAGGGTCCTCGGCGTCGGTTTCCGCAGCCTCTGCGTCGACACCACAACGGCGCGCTCGGAAGAAACAGGCAAAGCAGCTACACGAACAACCACTGCAGGAGGCCCACGCGGGTGCCTCGGGCTGGCGCTGGACGACACCCTTCCCCCGGCGCACGGAGCGCGCAGAGCTATTTTTACAGTACCTTCTGCCCAACTGCTGATCACATCACGTACGCTGCCTCCAGAGGAGGGAATGACACGTCCTTTGCGCCCCAAAACTACTCACATTACTCCGCGCATCCCTACACCGTTCTCACCTCCCGGTATCGGCCGACTCTTCCTCGTCCTCATTGTCGTAACCCCCGTTTCCCCATCCCTTCTCCTCCTCATCCTCCCCCTCCCCCTCCTCCTGCTCCTCCCCCTCCTCCTCCTCCTCCTCCTCCTCCTCCTCCTCCTCCTCTTCCTCCTCCTCTCCTCCTCCTCCACCTCCTCCTCCCTCCTCCTCCTCCTCCTCCTCCTCCTCCTCCTCCTCCTCCTCCCCTCCTCTTCCATCATCATGTTCCCTCCTTGCCCCCCCCTCCCTGTCTGCTGCTGGTGTAGAGGCCGCCCGCATTTGACCGGGCCGTCGGTGGCCTCCCTCTCGGAAACCCCGAGCGCCTCCCGAATGCCTATGACATGTTGAATGTCACGACGCCGTGGGAAACCCATCAGCGTGGTACAGTCAACCCGGATAGTAAGGCTGCGCGATAAGGATGCAAGGGCCTTGGCTGCCCATTTCGAAGCGTTCTGAGCGGGGCACGGCCAACTGAAGTGTCCAAGGATGGACCCAGGAAGCAAGGATGCAAGGTACTCTTGGGAGGGATGCCCGTCCTTGCTACGCGGGTCGACTGCACTGCTGAAGGCACAGCGTCTGCGGACAAGAACGGAGGAACGTATAACACACCGACGCGGGCTCCCAACGCCAGCGTGTCCCAGGGGCAGAATGATGCGCGAGCGGGGCCCCGCATCTCCCGCAGATCGCGTTGGCACGCCTAGGATGTCACAAGCAGCGTTGGCCTCAGCTCGGGATCGGCCCTGTCCCTCCCGAGCTCGCTGGTGCATGCTCTCCTTCAGCCCAGGCGCCGTCCCCCGCTTCCGAGCAGGACGACGAGGAGCGCACTGCCACGAGATGTCAGATGGGGTCAGAAAGGGAGAATGAAGAGGCCCAAGGACAC